AAAAAAAGAACTGACTCGAGCGCCGCAACTAACGCTTGCAACGCCACAAATATCTTGCAGTTATAGGTTTTGGCCATCATGTCCTTTCTCAGATTTTTCTCTGGTTTTGCGATATTTTTTAAGAATAGAGGCCCAGTAGCTGAGTTTGACCAATGGGTTCGGACTTCTCAGTTTAGTTACGGGACTGCCAACATCTAAAGGAAAAAATAAGCTAAGTTAATCCGGTTTGGAATATACCCACAAGTGTTATTCTATAAATAAAACATTAATATTTTCCACCAATATAGATTAAATTTAATCTCGGGCCAACTTACTCTTCGTTTTTTTTCTAGTTCTAAAGATTAGAAAAAGACAAAGAGTAAGTTGAACCGAGATTAAAGTTAATGTTGATGGAAATGAGCATAAATGTTAAACAAGAACAAATGATTAATCTAAGGCATCCGAGTGACGTTTCCGAACGCAGCCAATGAATGTCGAGTATCAACATGAAAAGGCATCTTAACATGATTACTACCCTGAATTCTGGTGAATTTGGGATCAGAAATCTGGTGATTAAATTTTTAAATCCACTGAAACTGGTTCAGTCTGTTTTGTGATTTATGTACGTGGTTCTTCATGGGTTTATTGTGTCGTTAAATTCTTGTCGCTTTATTGGCTCTTTTCTACGATTCTGTCATCCGGTCTACTGTTGCGGAATACGTATTGCATGTATTTCATTAGGAAATCGATGGGTGAGCTGTCCGCTCATAGGTAAGCTTATAACAGTTTATTACTCGTAAAACGTAACCTTAAGCAAATGGTACGTTAATATCTCGTTAGATGACATTCTCGCGGATCTTTCTCTTCTCTATATACGTATACATAATATTGTTCAATCGACATTCGATACTATCTTGTTCTCTCATCGAATCTTGTTTCGAATTTTCGAGTCACGAAGCATCAGTTATTCATTGCGCTCTATCGTTTCTACGACGACGAAGCAAAAGTGTTTGATCGATTAGACTTAGATGAAGAGACATATTTGAGGAATAAATAGGAGCACCAGTTTGCGAAGAATACTTTTCGATAAAAGAGACTAATGAAAATGTATAATTTTAAATTTGGCTTTAATTGTTGCGCGTGTGTGCGTGTTACACGTGTGTATGTGTGTGTGTGTGTGTGTGTGTGTGTGTGTGTGTGTGTGTGTGTGTGTGTGTGTGTGTGTGTTTTTAGGCCTGACAAGAAAACAAATATTTTTTTAATCGGCTCAAAAGTTTCCATTTCTTGCCAAAAGAACATCTTTAAATTTTTATCAAAAAAATACTAGTCGTTAGTGAACGATTTTTAAATCAAAGTTTCGATTTTCCTAAATACATGGTTGATTGATGCAAAAATATCTTAATCCGGATTTTAAATATATGTTTTTTTGGTCGCTGAACATGATGCAATAATTATTTATTTAATCCTATGGTATACGCCTTAAGAAATACAGCCCGATTATTGTGAAAAAATGATCAAATTTCGAATTCAAAGTCAATTTTAGCAAGGTTTCAAGCGTTCAAATCGGTTGTTACTCTACTGAAATTGTAGGTCTGTTCACTTATACCAAGATTTAATTGGAATTTTCCCGGGACCTTCAAAAATTGTATTTAACTAAATTTGTAAAAAAATTTTTTTCTTTTTTTTAAAAATGTTTTATAATCCAATTAAATGCAAACTTTTAAAGACCTTATAGGAGAGAAAATTTCAATTGGGTCTTGTTCTGAGTGAACAACTACAATTTGAAAAAAATAACTCATTTGAACATTTGGAATCTTGCTGAAATCAATCTTGATTCGAAGGTCATTTTTTGATTTTTCATATTAATAAAATCATAAAAATGTACAAAAAACAAAAGAGGCATTAGGAGTCAGCGCTGAAAATCAGTTGCGCAAAAAAAAACAATAAAGATAACGAAAATTTAGTACATTTCGACACCGTTTTGAATCATCATCAGCACAATGAATAATAATAAATAATAAATTAAATCATCGTGGAAACGCATTTCCGTTCCGTGATTATGACTGCAATGTGGTGAGGAGCTCCATCTTGAATGTTGTGCCAATCAATTGCATAACTGAGTGGAAGTATGATAGCCAGCCTCAAGCTAAGGAATTACAAAGATTTTAATGTGGCAACATATTATATTATAATGGATGGAGAATTTTTAAAAAAACATAGTCATCAAAAAATAATAGTCATTTTATGATTTTATTAATACGAAAAATCCAAAAAATGATCTTCAAGTTCAAAATCGATTTTAGCAAGATTCCAAGCGTTTATGAGTCGTTATTCTCTTCAAATTGTAGGTCTGTTCATCCAGAACAAGATCCAGTTAGAATTTTCCCTTCTACAAAGTCTTTAAAAGTTGCATTTAACTGAATTATAAAACATTTTTAAAAATAAAAAAAATTTTTTTACAAATTCAGTTAACTTTTAAGGCCCCGAAGAGAAAGTCCCAGGAAAATTTCAACTGGATCTTGGTCTAGATGATATTAAATTTTCGTTATCTCTATTGTTTTTTTGCGCAATTGATTTCCAGCGCTGACTCCTAATGTCCCTTTTGTTTTCTGTACATTTTTATGATTTTATTATTAAGTAAAGGAATCTTTATTAATTGATTCATTGTAATCATTGTATTTAATTGTAATATTATATTTTTCATATTAATCGAGTTATATTTTTTAAGATGTATATCGTAAAGCTAAATGAATTATTGCATTGTTTTCAGTGACTAAAAAAACATACGGTATCACATTTAAAATTTGGATTATGCCATTTTTTAAATAAAATCGAACATGTATTAAGGAAAATCGAAACTTTGATTTAAGAATTGTTTACTAGCGATTTCTAAATCTTAATATTTTTTGATAAAAATTTAGGAGTATTCTTTTGGCATGAAATGGAAGTTTTTGAGTTGAGAGGCCGATTAAAAAAAATCTTTTTCCTTCTCTAATATATATATATA